AAATGTTTATTGAACATTTGTATTACATATTATCTGATATTTTATAGAGATTTTAATAATGTGTACACATTTCGTGTAATTTTTTTTTTTTGGGTTCCATACCAAGATTTTTAATTACGATACGGGAAGTTCCAGAAGTTTGCCTTAAGGCACGATGCCATGCACCCCACTAGTTTATTATAAGAAATTATTTTAAGACCATTTTTCCAAGCGTCTTATCTCTGTAAATAATTAGATTAAACAGTATTAAAATCAAACTACCTTCACTATTTACCTCTGTCGGTCACTTACATCTCACAATCATTATATTAGTACACCTGTGCCCCGGCCAATGACTTCTCGCGCGTCTCGCAACCGGTACCTCCCTACCGGCACAGGTTGTGCCTGTGCTTGTGCAATAGACCAAATAAACCGCCCCTTGGGTTTTACCCTGCCTAGACCAATAGATCTACACTCACTCACACACCATATGCCAAAACTTACCCTTACATCAAAGCAAAAGCAAAACGATTATCGGAAAACCAAACTCGGTACCGAACACAGTTCATGACTAGTTACCGACAAGTGCACACGAAATAAAGATACCTATGAAAGATTATAGAATTTTTTTTTGTTGATAAGGTGTAAATAAAGTGTTTAGATTTTTTTTGGGTGGTTTTGTATATAAGGTTTAAGTAGAAATGAAATATGCTAGGAAGCCGTTGCAGGACCGCAATAATGTCTTGGGTATGTAATCGATACGTAATGAATTAAAAATTTTATTTGCAATAACAATATAATATATATATATATATATATATATATTTATATATGTGTGTATGTGAGTGTGTGTGTATTTACATATATATATACATAGGTTATCAAATATTTATTTGTCTATATAGTTAATTCTGTAGTAATCACGTTTAGGGTGTTATTTTTGATAATAATTTATTTTAAAATTGTGGTATTATTTTGTTATTTATATCAATTAAATTTACAATTAAAGGTATATTTTAGCTCTGTTTATTGTTTTTTTCTCAGTTTAATTTACTTAATGATGACACATATCAAGTATCGAAACGTAAATAAAGAAGTAAAAATATGATTGCATTTTTTAATTTGACGAATTGGTGGATAATTATATCAAACTAAAAGTTCTCCTTTTCTCGAAAAATTATTAATTTAGTTATTTAATTATAAATATTTTTAATTTTTTGAGAATATGATATGTCCTCTTCTGGAATTAATGGTAATATTAATTATTAGAATTAATTATTTAAATATTATTATAAAATTTAAATATTATTATAAAATTTAAATATTATTATGAAGACAGTTAATATTGATTTTATAAATACGACCATATTACATTACTATCATCTATGGTATAAAATTATTAATTTATATAAATGTAATAATATAATTAGCAAATTTCTACAAATGTTAAAACAAAATAAGGTGTCAAAATGTTAGGAATTTTAATAAAATTTGGGCAAAAATAAGTATAACGTTCATATTTACAAAAATAATATCGTTTATGGTTTCATTTTTCTAAACAAAAAAGCTATTCTTTCAAAAGATTATTTATTTAATGTTTAGTTTAGAAACATTTTCTACATTTTGGAGGATATTAGATGTTCCCTTTCTTCTTCATGGGCCTAATTTTTTTCAATTATTGTGTGATTTTTATTTATAATTTTTTTTCTACGTTTCAAGAATATGATATATCTTTTTTCAGGAACTTTGAATCCACTTTTTTTATATAAATACTTACTAAAAATCGATTTATTAAAAATTATATTGATGTTAGACTTTCAATGTACACACAATAATAAATAACTATAGCTCAAAGTATTATATTTATTATTGAATTTTCATTTTGATTTAGTGAGTATTTATTTAGAAAAAAATAGTTTCAATAATCTCATGTTCCTGAAGAGAGAGACATATCCCCAACATGTAGAAAATATTTAGAATTAAAAATTAAATAATTTTTGAGAAGAATTTGAGCTTTTTAAATCATAAATATAAAATCATAGGGTTGATCCAGAATAAAAATATATATTTATATGTGTGTGTGCTGCATATGGATGTATAAATATCAAAAAAATCCTATCGATTTCTGCCAAAAATGATTTTAATGAATAATTGCCCAACTGCAATTTCTAATTCTATTATTACATTGTATTGAATATATAATTTGTTCCATAAAAATAAAGTTTCATAAAAATAAAGATTCATAATTTTAAATTTTAAAATGAAATAATTAACTTCCCGTAGGGCAAGTTATAGTAATCGCAAAAAATCGAAAATGAAAATTTTTATATATCTTTACGTTTCAGAGGTTTCTGAATATTTTGAATATTAGAAAAAATAGATGTATATGTGTGTGTGTGTGCGTATGTGTGTGCGTTCGGATACAAATTTTCGTCGACGATTTCGGGAACACGGATGAAGCGATTTGAATAATTCAAAAAACATTCGATTCGTATGATAATTTAAAAAAATATTTAAAAAAATGTTATTTGAAATATATAAAAGGTATATATTAAAAAGTGTTAAGTTCACTTAAGCTCTTTGATTTGAATATTATCAATGTATAAATAATATTATGTTATTACTACAGGCTTGGATTGGTAGATATTTGCATCATTTTACATGCATAGCGTTTGAAAATAATCTTTAATTGAAAAATTGAAAATACTTAAGACTTTAAAAATGCGTTGGATATGCATAAGATTTTAATTCACGTTTATATAGTAGTATAATTATAACTTGGATAATCAAAATTGGAAAACAAAAAAAGCCTCGTTGATAAATTGGTGTCATAAAATACTCGTTCTAGTAATTAAAAAAAAATCATTCACTTTTTTAATTAAAATACGTCTTCCAGTTCGGTTGCTCTAGTCTACAAAGTAGGCGGGTGTAATTTCTAAGTCGTTTAACTCCTTGTAAACAAAAGTAGTGATTCACTTGTTTTGAAATAAGTCATGCACGACGCCTACTCTTCAAATGTTAGTTGCACTATTTGATGTTACAATGTTGCTAACTGATGTCGAACAAAAGCTGATGAACATATAAATATGTCACAATGAGAAGACTAATTAGTTATTGTTGTTATTTTAAATATACGCCGCAGAAATGGAATCTGGAGCGAATGTCATTCAGGAGTGGGGTAAAATCTTTTATCTTATTAAATAAGAATACTAATTTTTTAATTTATCGAATTTTTGGGCGTATTTTCCAGCTCCAGATAGTAGACAGACAGGACAAAGGGATAAAATATTAATAAGAACTAAAAGTGCATCGTGGCAATCTTCTGAAACTTTGCTTAAGAATTTAAGGCTTAAAAATTTCTATAAATCTAGAATTTTTTTAAAAATATCGATTTCTTTGAAAATTTTGAAATTTCTTGAAACTTCTGAAAGCCATCTAAGTCGGTTGATGCATACTGTAGAAAATGTCCAGGACATTTATTTGAACTATACAAGTGAACTTCAAACATTACAAATCTTGCTACAAATCCTAAAGAAATGGACAAAAATATTGTTCGTATTATTAAAATCTCTATAAAATATCTGATAATTTGATGTGCATATGTTTCATGACTTTTTTTTTCAATTTTTTTTTGTTGATCCTCCGAAACCGCTGAATCTGCCTTTTTAATCCAACCATTTTTTTATTTCCTCAGTACAAGTGAAATGTTTTTAAATCATTCAAATCGGACGCTCCGTTCTCTCAGAAACTGAATGGCCATTTTTGGCACTTTTTGCCCTTTATCTTCAAAACGACTAGACCCGCCTTTTCCAAAAACCAATTATCATGCCTCTTCATTAATAGGAATCGAATTACTTTCGAATCGTCCAAATCGGTTGATCCGTGCTCTCAAAATCATCGACAAAATATTGTATCTGCACATACATACATATACACACACTTACATGAAGTTTTTCTAAGATATACCAAAATGTTCAGAAATCTTTGAAAAGTGAAGATATGCTAAAATTTTCATTTTCGTTTTTTTGCGATTACTATAAGTTACCCTACGAGAAGTTGAAAAATAAGCTTAAAATATGAATTTATTCAATCGAAATTTTCAAAATGTATTTATATTTGTCATTTCTCACTCATAAATTATATTGTAGTTTGCTTATTAAAACTAGCAATAATAATAATAAAAAAAAACAAAAAAAAATAGATTACGTGATACTATGATAATGAATATGATAATATGAATGTATATAAAGAATATGAATATTATCAGAAAAGAGGCTTAGAATAAGAGAGCCATTAATTTTGTAATAAATACTACAAAGAATAAATTTAATTCATTGAATTATTTAACGAAAACATACTGTTTTATGCAATTTGTAAAAATGCGATTTCAATTATCCAATTAATTATTGCAGATTTAAAATATAGCAATTATTTTTATTATCAAAGTGTTGTCGACCACTGTAAAAATAATGTCGTCTGAAAACGCCGTCATAACAAATCAAGTTGTTGCTTGAATTTCATATTCGTCTGTAACAATTTAGTATTAGAAATCATGAAATAAGATCTGCTGTAAATCTCGAGATGTCAACAATACAAAAAAGGCAGAGCACGTGCTTAATTAAGTTGCAAACGAAGCTACAGCTGATATGGAATATGATTCACTCGAATAAAAAAGATTAAGACAAAAGTATAAGGCTAAGGATCAAAGTCGAAATTCCTATTAAAAAAAATAAAACATTGCCACTAATCATTTCCCTTAGCGCTGCGTCAAATGCATCTAATGTTTTTCTAGCATCCAATAGTAGTTGATAAGTAGTAGAATCAGAGGTAGGCAGTTACAATCACCAACCCTAAGTAATACAAGAAGATGGTATCTAATATAAAACTTTCATAATTAAACAATTTGCCAAAGCCAGTTGCTAATGTTCCATTTCAATTTTACTGATTTTTACTATGTGCCCCAACTTTAACTTAAGTCTAATCTGACCTTTATTTGCTCAGGACTCAAAGTCACCCTCGCGATGAAGGAAAAGAGCAAAAATGCGGCACGAAGTCGTCGGGAAAAAGAGAATGCTGAGTTTCTGGAACTTGCGAAATTGCTGCCCCTGCCTTCTGCCATCACTTCACAATTGGACAAAGCCAGTGTCATTCGATTGACCACAAGTTACCTGAAAATGAGACAAGTATTTCCCGATGGTGAGTAAAAAATATACAATATAAAAAATTATCTTAGTTTAAAATAATAAGATAAGTCAAAATTAATAATAATAATAATAATTTAAAAAAATGCTACATCCATAGACCTTATACTATTGTAGTATAAGGTCCACGGCTACATCTAATTTCTAATTGATTACATCGCTCATTTAGACATATTTTTACAAATTAAAAAAAAATTCATGTTAATTCTTATTAATTAAACTAGTGGGGTGCAAGGCATCGTGCTTTAAGGCAAATTGCTGGAACTTCCTGTACCGTAAATAAAAATCTTGGTACGGAACCCAAAAAAATTTACACAACATACGTACACATTATTAAAATCTCTATAAAATATCTAATAATTTGATGTACATATGTCCACAACATTTTTGATCGCCAAATGACATTTTTTTAACTTATTTTTATTGAGAGTCCATAATCGCTGGACCTGCCTTCTCAAAAATTTAATCAGTTATTCATCTTGTCAATACAAGTAAAATGCTTTTAGAATTATTAAAATCGGACGATTTGTTCTCTTACAAACTGAGTTACCGTTTTTAGCACTTTTTGTCTCATATCTTCGGAACGGCTAGACCTGCCTTTGCCAAAAACTAATCAGCACGTCTCCTTATCAATACGAATCGAATGTTTTTTGAATTATTCAAATCGGTTGATCCGTGTTTACCGATCATTTTTATTTTTTATTATCATCATAAGAATTTTTGTAAAATCCTTTTTCATCTTGTACTGAATTTTCTTTTCCGTTTGACTTTCGTATTTTGTCTTGCTTAAGTTAGATTTTTTTTATCTGTTCAATCTTTACCCGCAAAGGACAAGAAATACATGTCACAACCGTACCCACGAAATTTATCACAGCCATATCCAACGCACACTTTTGAAAACAAATTATCATTATGACTTCGAATTATCCAAGCAAAAATTAATTGCTGGTAATAACAAAGTGTTCTACCTGTATACAATTGACAGTTCTTATTAAAAGAATTTGAACATAAAAATTCAGAAAGTGGCCGCAAAGCAATATACATATTTATGCAAGGAAATTCCTCACTGATGGCGAAATTTCTAAACGCTATGTACCCAACAGCAAATTGAGTATTAAACCAAAGGTTCAGTCTTGTTATGAGAAATGAAGAAAACATGAACACTTTTTTTTCACTCTTCAAAAACAATGATACGGATCAGACTGATGTAGGGCGTTGGCTCAATGCACTATTGGAAACTTGTTCGAACAAACATACTTCATCTTTCTCTTCTTGTATTCTGATTTTATAAATAGTCAATTAAAATATAAAATGATTCTTAAAGACTATGAGGTGATGGCCACACTTATTATTTATCATTAACTTATTATTTCGTCAATTCTTACGTCGTTTTCTTTAATATTTTCAAATCGTATAAAAGTCTATATATATTTCAACAATATTATGAAGTCGTTGACGCGTGTCGAATCGCCAATTATAAAGCGTCTTCGATAATTAACACGACACAAGTTAAAACGAAAAATATAAAAATAAAAACGGCTGAGTCGTCGGTCGTCGCGCAGTTCCAGGCGTTACGGCTACGGGGCGCCCTTTGACACCGGAGTTTGCTTAACGATGCCAATAATACGAATCAGGGGTGGATATATATATATATATATATATAAATATATATATATATATAATAATAACTAGTAGGGTGCATGGCATCGTGCCTTAAGGCAAATTGCTGGAACTTCCCGTACCGTAATTGGAAAACTTGGTACAGAACTCAAAAAAATTTACACAAAATGTGTACACATTATTAAAATCTCTATAAAATTTCTGATAATTTGATGTACATATGTCCAATAAACATTTTTGACCACCAAATGACATTTTTTTACTAATTTTTATTGAGAGTCCATAACCGCTGGACCTGCCTTCCCAAAAATTTAATCAGTTCTTCTTCTTGTCAATACAAGTAAAATTTTTGAATTATTAAAATCGGACGCCCCGTTTTCTTAAAAACTGAGTTTCCGGTTTTGGCACTTTTTGCCCCGTATCTTAGTAACGGCTAGACCTGCCTTCGCCAAAAACTAATCAGCACGTCTACTTATTAATACAAATCGAATGTTTTTTGAATTATTCAAATCGGTTAATCGGTGTTCCCGAAATTGTCGACAAAAATTTGTATCCGCGCACACACACCTACATCCATTTTTTCTAAGGTATGCCAAAATGTTCAAAAACCTTTGGAACGTAGATATATAAAAATTTTCTTTTTCGATTTTTTTGCGATTACTATAACTTAATAACAATCTACTGGAAGTTAATAATCAGACATAGTTCAATATATTTAATTTTTATAAATAATGTATATCATTGAAAATAAATAATAAGCAAAAAATAAGTAGGGAAAAAGCATATATCAGAAAAAATCGAATAAAATTATTTGGCAACCAATAAAATATTTCGAAAATTTGAGAAAAACAGTATAAATTTTATACGCATTTTGTATTGGGACATTTACATTATCAACAAATTTATAGTTCAAATGAAAAATGATTTTACATAATAAAACCAATGAAAATGATGTCATGACTATCTCTATAATTTATACTGGAGTTTATATTCAATAAATACATTTTCATCTAGAATTTCTAAATTTTCATCTGTATTTTTTATAAAAATCCTGTAACTGATACCTGTAACTATTGCTATTTGTAACTGATAAATATCATAAAAAATAAATATCAAGTGAAAAATAATTTCGGACATAAAATGCTTAACAGAAAAAATCCATTAAAAATATAGAAAATTAAACATGAAAAATATTTTAAATATGAAAAGAAATAGGGTAGGGAGGAGCACGAAGGTCCAATTTGACTTTGAGCAATTATATTGTGAAAACCAAATCTATTACATCACAACAAATAAAGCGTAATCTGACTATGTAAAGTAACATTTGGCTACATTTTTTACATAGATAAAACTCTGTGTATAACCTTGATCTGGTATTTTGTCAGAAATATTCAGCAGCAGAGTTAAAAATTTTATTTATTTTATTTATCTCTTGTAAAATTGCTGTTTTCAAATTCATTTTTTTTTTCAATATTTTCCATTGTTGACAACTTTGCCAGAGTAAAAATTCAATTGGTCCTTTTCACCCCACCCACGTGTGAGCTTTAACAGAGGTTATATAAAAAAACTGTTAAAGTTAACTATATATCTTATAACACAATTAAGTAATCTATGCTTAAAAATTATATTAAGGTCTCGTAAACTAAACAACAAAGCTCACAACTAAAACAAATAAGAAGAAAGAAAATACTTTTTTTATGGATTTTCAAATATTGCCGTTTATCTTCCGATAGCAACGTTGTAAGAATCAAGATGATAGTTGGTTATACATTTTTTCCCCTCTGCTTTCAAAATATTGTTGTTAAAAAAATGAAGAGCATATTTCATTTTCAAAATTAGATTTTAAATCATAAGTTTTCAAGAACCTATTTATAAAAAATCAGTTTAGTGTTTTGTCACTTACAAAATCCAATTCAATTTTATTTCTCCGAGATTTGTAACCTCTGTTTTCTCATCATCCCTCTGCTTTTCACAACTCGAAACGACACCCTAGCAATTATAGTACGCCCCATTAAACATGCCCTACTTCGAGCCCTCGGGCAAAAATCTCTGTTATCCCACTTTAGTGAAGTTGAGAGAATTTTGTTATTATTATTATTTCCAATTCGAGCACACGTCACTGTTTTTTCTGCCTTTTGAAGTCGTATAATGATCTAGTTTGAATGTAGGTGTCACAGCATGATTATAACTGGACCATGGGAAAATGGTAAATGACATTGTTTGATTTTTTTGAATTTGAACACTACTGTTTAGAATATTCTACTTTATTTTAAAAATTGAAGATCATCCAAATAAGCTACTAATTGTAAATCAGTATTCAATATGGTTTGTCGGCTTTCAAAAAACCGATTTTATTAAACAAAAAAACAATTAGAATGTTTAAAATTAATTAATTAAAATTGCTCGGAACAGGCAATATGTATGTATTAACATGTATCTAATATTTTTTTATTTTTTTTTTATTTAATGAATGTATTATTTTTATTTATTCGAAAACTTTCCTTTGACTATCATAAAAATATTTTCATTCTTATACGTGAAAATGATGCATGAATAACGAATAATTATTTTCAAAGTTATTTAATCAAGATAAACTATTATTTTTAGTTCTACTAATTAAAATTAAAATAATTTTGTTTACTATCCATAAAATTGAACAATAAATAAATTCAGTCAAATACTGCTCTAAATCACAATAGATTTGCCGATAAATTACAAAGAGCATACGAGCAAAAATTTATTTTCTATATAAAATTCGAAAACCGGCTAAAACCAGTTTTTTAGCAAAATTAAAATTCAAAAACCGGTTTTCTGAAATGGCGGTTTTTGAAAAAACAAAGCATCCGATTAGAATGATTCAAAAAACATTCTGCTTGTGTTGACTAAACTATTGATTTTAGGGAAAGCAATTTTTTTTTATTTCCAAGTTTTCTTTTGATTAATAAGTTTAATTCTAGCCAAAATTCTAAAGCCTACTTATACACTTAAAATATCACTTATATATATTTGAAAACATTTAATATTCTCTGAATATTTCATTACGATACTGGAAGTTCCAGTAATTTGCCTTAAAGGGAAAACTGTTATTTGGCAAAGGTAGGCCCAGCGGTTTCGGAGATAGAGAGCTAAATGTTAAAAAATGGGAAATTTTTGAGAGAACTAAGTGTCCGATTTAAATGATTCAAAGAACTTTCTGCTTGTTTCAAGAAAATAATTGCTTTCGGAAAAAAAATGGTTTTCAATTTTTTTTTTAAAAAATATTTTTGGAATTTTGGATTAAAAATTCAAAAATTTACCCAGGCTAAGCACAGTCTAAGCGCCACTCTGGTACAAATGTTCACCCAAGTGCGTCTAGACTGTTTATGTACTGGAACACTGGAAAACTATTGAAAAATGTGAAAATACCGCCAAGCTAAGCACAGTATGAGTGAAAATGTCGCACAGAATTATTTGCAAATGCGTTTAGACTGTGACTGTACGGGAGCACTTCTTCAATTTTGTGTAAATCAGGCAACTTTTTTTTTGAAATTGAATTTGAAATGAAATGACGATTGTTAATGTTCTGGAGATAAATTGATTTATGATTTACATTTGATTTGCTGAACGAGATAGCAAAAATAATGAAAGTTACAGTATTTGTAATAATATATTTGAAAAGGTTTAATAGTCCTCGAATATTTCTTTACGGTACGGAAAGTTCCAGCAATTTGCCTTAAGAAACGATGCCATACACCACTAGTTCCATTACTACAAAGACCAAAGACTAGATCAAATTACTACTAAAATGAATCAACTAACAATGTACTATTATAATGAATCGATAAATTACTAACAAGGTATTTTAATAACCTCACGACAATATTTCCGAATGAACACAACAGTAAAGTTTTATGTATGTAGAGTTGTACACCACTAGTTACATAGACCAAAGACTAGATCAAATTACTATGAATCAACTAACACAATACTATTATAATGAATCGATAGATTACTAACAAGGTATTTTAATAACCTGATGGCAATATTTTCGAATGGACACAACAGTAAAGTTTTATGTATGTACAGTTGTACACCACTAGTTACATAGACCAAAGACTAGATCAAATTACTATGAATCAACTAACAAAGTACTATTATAATGAATCGATAAATTACTAACAAGGTATTTTAATAACCTGATGGCAATATTTTCGAATGGACACAACTGTAAAGTTTTATGTATGTACTTGTACATTTAATATCGTTCGTCCATCGTAATTCCTCACAAGTTAATTCTGTGATGGTAGCAATGAGTAATTTTCCGGTACTTAGTACGTTGAATTATTACATCTTCTGTACCCGTGACTGATACTTGAAGAAAATTACCTTCGAAGAGAATCAAATTTATAATCAAACATAATCTACGACCGTGCATTTGTAATAAAATACTGTATACTGATAAGGTGCAATAGCAATATTATAGTATATTTATGAGGAATAGTTAATATGCATTTTTAGGCATAGGAAATTGCACAATTTGTTATGGCTGTTAAGTGATTGTGTACGGTTTGGATTTATTGACATACCATCGATGTATTTAAAAGTCTATTTAATTAAATATATATTGAGGTTGTCTTCTATATATTCATATACAGGGTGTCCCAGAACTCAACGTCAAGCCGGAACGGGGTGAGAGTGTTGATCGTTACTATTTTAAAAAAACCTATCATAAAAAATTATTCCATGTAATTTGTAAATTGGGAGCTTTCAAGTGCAACCTGAAGCTTTGGTGAAACAGTTTTTGTTTCTCGGTTTTTCATGGTTAATTTTGATTAATTTTGTTCATTGAAACTTTAGATCAGTAATGGTAAATCACATTTCAAAAGTAAAAATTATATTGCACCAAGTTTTCTGAGAATTTAAACTTTTTGTTGAACTAAGTGTTTAAATTTTTTAAAATCTTTCGACTTTGATAGGTGCTGTTTTAAAAAAAATGCACTAAAGTGTTTTTGTAATTTCTATCAAAAGTTGGTGCATTCAACCAGGATTGTAAAATGGTAATATATTTGATAGTTTCATAATAAAAAAATCGAGTCAAAAATAAAAACCGAACGTTTAAATATATTTACAAACGACCATTACGCCGAATTGAAACAACCTGATATGTATGCAATTCAAACAAAATATTTTTCGATCTCTTTTTTTCTTTAAAAATCAAAAACTTCCAATAACAGGAATGCAGATTCTGTTGCTATATTTGTTATATAGGCAAATATTTTCAATGCATTTATAAAACAATGAATCAACATATATATCATTCTAACAATTCAAAACTATATTTTCTGAAAATGTGATATCAAAGTACACCTTTGATAAAAATCATCTTAACATAAAAGAATGTTGTTTTAAGATTTAAGTTAAGATGATTTAAGATTTAAAATCATCTTAACATAAAAGAATGTTGTTTCATAAAAGAATGTTGTACTCGCAATTAGAAAATTTGCAGAAATTAGTTTTTAACCAAAATTCCCCTAGTTTTTTCTTTCACTTTACTTATTAGTAGCTATAGAAGTTTAATTAATGTTTAATGTTTGTAAATCTAATATATTTCCTAATATTTAGCCTGATGTTTCCACTTTTTTCATTTTTGTTTTGGACGTTTTGGAAATTTAATATCAATTCTTAGAATTTTCTGTCATACATGATTTTCATTTGGAAACAAAAAATCACTAAATCATCTATCATTTCTATTATTTTTATATTTTTGAAATTTCTGATTGGTACACTACTTTTATTGATTTTTTTATTCTTATTCTGTTGTTGCTATATTTATTTACTTTTTTGTAATATTTAAATTGAAGAAAGCATGTATGTAATAATTTTCATGTTTATTTGTACATTGGCAAACTGAATTTAAAATAAAAAATACATCATATAATAAGCATTTTAATACATAAAATTATTTCAAATTATAGATATTTATGCTGATATAAATTGTATTCTAATAACATTTTTATACAACGGAAATCCAAAAACGCCGTTTACAGTGAATCCTTATTTTTTTAAATAAAATATTTAAATAATGTTTTATTTTTTTTTTTTTATATTTCATTTCTGTAACCCTATAGAAAATATAGAAGATTATGCTGACTTAAAATCTTTCCAGGTAACAAAAATCCACGAATAGCATTTTTATTTCATTGAATTCGCATTCAAGAAAAAACACAAATTTTAAAAAAATTTCAAAAATGACAAATTTATCAATGGAGTATTCTAAATTAAATTAATATATTAAAAACCATCTAAAGAAATATAAGTGAATTAATTCAAAAAAATTGTAACTTTCACACCTGATAAAATCATAAAAATATATATACGTTATGCATAGTCACGTCATCATATCTATTGATCGGATCTTCAAATACTGGTAGTGGCATCTTTAACAATAGAATAATATTTCGATAAAGAAAGATACATCACATTTTGACAGTTGACGATTCGAATAAGTCTGTAAAATATATAGACGTTGTTTTTAACAGACAGATTCATCTGATATAAAATTTTCACTGAGAAGAAAATCATTTTGATAGAGTTCGATGATATAAAATACGACATAATATTTGAAATACTGTATATTAAATGTGCAGCTCAGAATCTAATTAATTATTATTTAGTTAATTATTAACTTCCCGTAGGGTAAGTTATAGTAATCGCAAAAAAATCGAAAATGAAAATTTTTATATATCTTTACGTTTCAAAGGTTTCTGATCATTTTGCCATACCTTAGAAAAAATGGATGTATGTGTGTGTGTGTGTGTGTGTGTGTGTGTGTGTATGTACGTGTGTGTATGTATGTGCGGATACAAATTTTCGTCGACGATTTCGGCAACACGAATGAAGCGATTTGGATAATTCAAAAAACATTCGATTCGTATTGATAAGGAGGCGTGCTGATTAGTTTTTGGCGAAGGCAGGTCTAGCCGTTTCAAAGATACGGGGCAAAAAGTGCCGAAAACGGTAACTCAGTTTTTAAGAGAACGGAGCGTCCGATTTGAATAATTCAAAAAACATTTTACTTGTATTGACAAGATGAAGAATTGATCAAATTTTCATGAGGGCAGGTCTAGCGGTTTCGGAGATTTAACAAAAAAAGTAAAAAAAAATGCCATTTGGCGGTCAAAAATGATCATTAGACATACGCACATCAAATTATCAGATATTTTATAGAGATTTTAACAATAAGTATAAATTTTGTTTACATTCCTATGGGTTCCATACCAATGTTTATCCGTTAGACAGCGACGTGGCGCTTACGCGCTTTATATTTTGTCTCTATGCAGTTAAAGCAGTACGATTGCTTTGAAAAATAGTTCAGATCTTCCAAAATATGTCAAAATAAAAACATTTTTTTTTCAAAAAAAAAAAATTAAAAAAATAATATTTTTTTAAAAAAAATAAAAATTTTTTTTTTTTTCAAAAAAAGTAATTTTTTGTCTAATTTATAGTTTCTCAAAAATCTCATGTTTTCGAAGAAAATTTTTTTCAAAAATGTTAATCGTTTTTAAAAAAATAATAATTTTTGGTACGGGAAGTTCCAGCAATTTGCCTTAAGGCACGATGCCTCAATTGCCTTAAGACAGAATTCCACTTACAGCTAGTGAGTTATAATTTTTTTATGAATTCTCGATTTTTTTACTACCAGGTCTGGGAGATGCTTGGGGTGCTGCGCCGCCGTGCGCGACTCCGCGAGACCCTGCAATGAGGGAATTGGGTTCCCACTTGCTGCAGTCGCTCGACGGATTCATATTCGTTTTGGCGCCCGACGGCAAAATCATGTACATCTCGGAAACAGCTTCGGTACACTTAGGACTTAGCCAGGTGAGAAAAAAAATCTATTTATTTTGTGATAGGAAAATTTTGACTTTGTGGCGACTTAGTTCAAATGCATTTTCAGAGTAGAAATATATATATTTTTTATACAAGTAGTTTTACAGCAATCAGAACTATTATACTATGTTCTATAAACTGTACTGAACACTGCTAAGACGTTGTTCTTGTTAGTAGAAAATCCATTGATTGTCCTTACATTATTTAAGTAATTCTTGCACTGAATGCTATTAGAAGACAATCCCCCCGGTCGTCGTTCTAATTGTGGTATTGCAGCAATGCCGGATTAATGTCTATTTTCACTTGGAAACATATTGCTATCTATATTTCCAAATGGAAACCGTTGTCTCATTTGCCTGACAACAGGCTATTCGAACCCGGGACCTCTGAATTAAAACCCGTCGCTCTTAACCACTTATTTACGGGCAAGTCCAAAGTAGAAAAATGAAATTTTGTAAACAAAGCAATATATTTTTAATTTATGTTATAAATCGCTAATTTTATATGAGGGCTTAAAAGTTCGCCGGTTAAGTTAAGTTTGATATTTTAAACAATACTATTTTAAAGTAGAGGGCAAATGATGTGTAATCACTCAGCGCCTTAAATCGGGAGACATGCCAAATAATTTGCCACATTGTCAATGCTTTAATGAAAGTATTTTTTTTTGTTGGAAGTTTTGTTTCGTTTTGAGCAGTGTTATTTAGTTCATCATACTTGAACAATATTCTCATGTATACCTTTTTTAATTGTTGTATATAACAATACACTTTGTTACTTTTAAGTTTGATTCAACAATTTTTATGTAACCTCTAGAATAGCTTACATGTGGTTGGGGTAAAAAGAACAATCTGCACATTTACACTAGCAACATTTAATAATAAAAAAAATAGTAGAGAGTAGAACTATAGTTGTAAGAAACATTTTTCGTTGAGGCAAGTTGCATGAACTTCTCGATACGTATACATAATCAACTCAATCAATAACAATTGAGTTTAGGTCAGATGTACAACTTTTTTTTCGAAAATAAACCATTCGCTTTCACTCAATACGATTTACAGTTGATATCTTTCAAACATACTTGTAATATCTCATCTGTAATTATATAAATTAAATTAATTTGTCTAACACATTTCATTTCATATATTTTGGGTTCTAAAAATGTATTATAGTCTGTTTAAATGTAAAAGTCAACTGTAATAAGTAGTCACTGACAAGACACAGAACTTACATATTTTCTCGGCATAGATTCTGATTAGAATTACTTAAACGCACGACCAAACTCTATATTTTGATGAACTTTTATAATTTAATCCTTTATTTTAGGCCTACAATATTTTAGTATGTTATTTCATAATACAAAGATTCATCAAAACTCTCAAAAAAATCTCAACATTTAATTACGCAGAAACGTCCCGAACTTAAGGAAAAACTTATCAACGCGATTCCCAACCAATATCTTTCGAACATTTTATGAATTTTTAAAATTGCTTGTTAGCTAAAATGTGGACAAAACTTTTTATACTTTTCTGCTAATTAAACGGAAGCGGCTTGGCTAAACGTTGCAAAAAAACAAAAGCTAGTCCTTGTCGAGTTGCATTGAAGAGCTTTTAAATTTTCAAAATCGGTCCAGCTCTTTCTGAGAAAACATCGACAAAATATCAAATATCGGCTCACATACACATACACATACTTTTTATAATCTAGAACCTATTCGATTCAGAGTGACTTGAAACATCGTGAAACTATAAAATTAGAAAATCGCATTTTGTCGCGAAAACAACTTCTCTTTCGAAAAGTTAATACTCAAACCCTTCAGTTCATTTACCCTCGTTTATCTATCTATCATAGGTTGAATTAACGGGTAACAGCATATTCGAATACATCCATCAAGCCGATCACGAAGAAATGACCGCAGTACTATCAGCCCAATACCCCGGCGGCGCCCCATTAGTGGGACCTCCACCCATAACGGGCGCCGGCTACCGGGCTCAGGCACAAGAATTGGAGAGCGAAAGGGCCTTCTTCATACGAATGAAGTGCGTGCTGGCTAAGAGGAACGCAGGGCTCACGTCCGGAGGATTCAAGGTAAGGGATAAAAATAATTTGCTTACTCTGGAAACATTACTATCAATAACAATAGTTTAGTCTCTAATTAATACTCTCCTCTACTACAATTTGTATTTAAAACTAGATGACCCGGCAAACGTTGTATTGCTAAGTAAGGTATATTCTAAACAAATTCTAGAGAATCAAAAACATTAATACTTGTATATAAGGATGTGTTGTTTGAATGCTATGTACAATGAGCTATTATAAAAATAATAAACCCCATTGGTTTGTCTATATTTTGTCAATAAAATCAAACTGGAAGTCTTATACACTTGGTATAAAACATGGTATAATCCATTCCAAGTCTTTTTCGCTCTTTCGGCTTATTGATTACGTTTCAAGTTTTTCAGATTCTTTTTGGATTCTGGATTTTGTGTATAATTGTAAATTATACTACTGAGCTTATACAAAATTTTCAAATTTCTGCGAGAAGAGATAGAAAATGAATTAAGTATTTCTTCTTTGACCTGCTTTTTGAAAAGCTTCAAGTAACATTCGATGAATTAAAGTAAATTTAATAAAAAGTATATATGTAGAGCAGGGCGAGACACAAAGGTTCAATTTGACTTTGAGTAAACATTAACTATATTGTGAAAACCATAACAATTATATCACAACAAATAACAAATTTCAAACGAACAATTATCTGACTACGTTCAGTAAAACTGCCAGCTACTTCATCTTAGTAGAAATGTGCTGTTTTGATGTCTTTCAAAAATTTGTAATCTAGACCTTTTTATCCCACAGATGGGGTAACTTGGAACGGCCAGGTGGCAAACAGGTTTAATGTCCTATTTTAATTTTAAAGGTATTTTTTAAAATAATTACATTTCTAACTAACGCTAAAAAAACTACCAACGGAAAAAAATACTTTTATTATGAATTTTCAAAGATTACCGTTTAACTCCCGATAGTAAAGTCATATGAATTAAAGTTATAGCTGGTTATACATCTTTCTCCCTCTACTTTCAAATATTGTTATTAAACAATGCTTAACTTTACTGGCTTTTGACACATCGGTGGTGGATCTTTTTGACCCCAGACCTTTACATATTACTATCTATTTTTCGATAAATTCTGGGAATATATAACTGAGAAAATGTTATTTGGCAAAACGTCCCTTTGAGCGATACCAAATTTAGATATTTAATTAAAAATATGCCAAAAAGTGCATTTTCATATTAACATTCAAAAAAGTTGATATTTTTAGTTTCTAGTAACACTTGCGGCCGGTATAACGTATAACGTAACGTAAAATATTAATAACGTATTCGTGTATAAACAAACAAAACTACTTGCTACAATTTAATCATAATAAAATTATATTCACGTAAAACATCCTATTGAACGTAATTGAACATCATCTATCAAAAACGTTTGACATTTGACGTGTTAGCCACCATCCATTGTTTTATTTAAATTACGCTTCTACAAAAAAATTCAAATTAAAAATGTAAAGTTTCTACGCGATTTTGAAATAATATCTCACCTTTCCGACCATCTCTGGATTGGCACGAATTTTTTAAGACTAAGTCTGGCCAAATCGGTTTAGCCGTTTTCAAGTTTTACCGAATCATTTGATCGAGAGCTCCATTTTTATATATAAGAAGATGTCTCAACCAATACTATTCTATAAACTATCAATAAATTCGTGTCTGAATAAGTATATGTTATCCAAACCTTACATTTTTCATTTCACCTCCGATAACGTGGCTCATAAACCCTTTCTTGTGTGGGCATTATCGACGCTTAAAACAAAACTCGGCAAAATAAGAAAAACAACGAAATTGTCGTCTCCAGTCGCGACGAGTGTCAGTTTGTTTCAGACATAAATCTATCGGCCATTGCGTCATTTCCACGAACGCAGGAACAAAAGAAGTGGTCCCGGCAATAAGTTTAATGTCAAATCATTCATTGCCGTCGTATTCACCTTGCTAAGGATCCATTCATCCAAAACATATGAGTAAATAGGGTAGAGCGGGGGACAAAGGTCCAATTTGACTTTCAGCAAAACCGAAATAACTACATCACAACAAATAACACATATCAAACACAAAACTATCTGAGTATTTACAGTAAAACTCCCAGGTAATTCATTATTGTAAGAATGTGTTTTTTTGTGACTTTTGTAAAATTTTTCAGAAAATTTATCACCTGGCTCTTTTTACCTCATAAGCGCGGTAAAATGGAACATCCAGATGGCAAGCAGATCTAAAGTCTTATTCTTACTTTTGGACGAATTTTATGAAATAATAGCTACATTGATCAACCAATGCAAAATATCAATTACGTACATTTTCTACGGAGATGCTCTGTATATAACCTTGATCTGGTACTTTGTCAGCAGATTTGGAATAACAATTTATTTGATTCGTCTCTCGTAAAATTGTTTTTTTTTTCACTCAATTTACCTTTCTATTTACTATTTTTTATTGTTTTTACTATTTTTTAGTGTTTACACTTGAGCTTGAGGGTGAAGGTTCAGTTGGTCTTTTTTACAACACCCACGTGTAAGCTTTCATAAAGGTTATGTAAAAAAAACTGTTGAATCTAACTTCAAATTAACAATACAATTTATAAAATAATTAAATAACGTATATTTAAAAATTATATTAATATCTCGTAAACTAAACAACAGTGCTTAGTGCCAGAAAAATTACCAACGAATGAAAATACTTTTGTTATGGATTTTCAAACATTGACGTTTATCTTTCCGAGAAAGTCGTAAGAATTAAGGCTGGTTATACATGTTTTTCCTCAACTTTCAAATATTGTTGTTGAAAAAATCATAACTTCACTTGCTTTTGAGATATTGGTGGTGGACCTTTTTGCACAAGGATTTTATGCTCCGGTCTACCCTACATCAGATAAAACAATTAAAAACAATCTATTCAGGCATCATAAACTAAACAACAGTGCTCAACTATCTAAACTAAACAACAGAAAAAAACTATCATCAAAATCTATTGTTGAAATTTTGGCAATATGGACGTTTTAAGTTTGATTCAAGGTGATTGCTGATTACACATATTTTGCCCTCTACTTTAAAATAGTATAGTTAAAAGATACCATACTTTACTTGTTTTGGAGATAATGGTGGTGGACTATTCTAATTGCAGGTCTTTCAACAACGCTCTTCCCTATAGGAACAGTTTTTGATATGAATTTTTTTTTAAACAAATAAATAACGCAAATTTAAAAAGTATATTCAGGCATCATAAACTAAACAACAGTGCTCAGAAAAGAAATAAAACTAACTAAAAAAACTGTCGTTAAAATTTTGACAATGTGGACGATTTAAGTCCGATTTAACGTGAGTGCTGATTACACATATTTTGCCCTCTACTTTAAAATAGTATCGGTAAAAAATACCAGTTTTTACTTGTTTTGGAGATAATAGTGGTGGAACATTTTTTCCGCGGATCTTTCAGCCCCGCTCTTCTCTATATGAAAAGTTCTGAATGTGGAATAAAATGTTTTGAGCATTTTGGTCATTGGCCTTTTATTTACAAACTTTCAAAAAACCTTTCTTGTGAACAAAATTAAGATATATGACGAAACCTTATTTTAATCCTACGACCAACACATCTGTTTTTCACTTGGAAAAATGACTATTTAAATATTCTTCAATTGATATATTTTCTTTTATTTACAAGCTTCCAAAACCTTTCTGATAAACAAAATTAAGATATATGACGAAATCTGATTTTAATCCTAGGAACAACTTGAAAAAACGACTATATCAATATTCTCCAATTATTACATTTTCCAATAATATTTTTCGATGTGGATGTGGCTTTAGCCCACAGTAGTCGTAAAATATTTACGCTTTCTTTGTTTCTGTTAGCCTTTTCATTCGTCTTTGCTCATTCAGACGTTTGTCTCAACTCCAGAATGCTGGTGGCGGCCACTCAATGATTTCCAGTAGTTCCAAATCATTATACTAAAAGATATTTTAACTTATTTTTTCACTACACTTTGATTAAAACCCTGCCCTTCAGTCACTGTATTATTGGCTTCCAATTTAGACTTGCTAAAATCTGATCCTCCAGCAGTCACTGGATTATTGGCATCAGATTTAGACTTACTAAAATTTGGTCTTTCAGTCACTGGATTATTAGCAACCGATATAGACTTACTAAAACCTGGTCTTCCAGTCCATATTAAAATCTGGTCCTTCAGTTACTGGATTATTAGCGTCCGATTTAAACTTACTAAAAAAGCTCTTTTAACTAGTCTTAAGATTAAACGCCACATCCAACTACTTATTTTATACACTCATAGACAGCCTCCAAATATTCTAAATAACTTTATTTTATTCATTTTTCTTCAAAAAATTTAATTTAAATAGCTAATGTTCACTGTACGCATAACAAATATACTCGCCAATGCACAAAATTCTAAAACTTCTTCATGACGAATATATTCGTCAATTCTAGTTAAATGGCTGGATTACCAACCACTTGTGCCAACCACTATTTATTATGTGCCAATTATTTTTAGTAACTATCAATATCGTGTTACTATCAGTTACACCACTTTCAGCTTTCAAAATAAATCTCAATTTAAAAAGTAATACAATATACTTTCTATAAGGTTTATAGCTCAAATGCAAACATTACTTAATGGCCTCTGTTTCGTAACCATGTGGGGAATGTAAATGTAGAAGTGCCATCATGTGAGTTATAAAATTTATCAAATAGGGTTTTTCAGTTCCTGGAATAAAGTACATGCACTACTTTTCTGGAATAAGCACGTTTAGAACATAACATTAAATACTTTATATGAAATAATGTATTTTGGAATATAAATTGACATAGGAAAAGACAACTATTTAGTGAAGAGGTTATACGATTTATGTGAGGACATAGTTTAAACTATACCATCAATTTGTGATGTCAATATAGGTCATGCCTTCCTTAAAACATTAAATTATTTCTATTTTAATTGTATATATCATGTTGCAAAAATACTTCTATTTTAGAAATAGCTCTAGATATCAAGGTTACTAATAATTGCAGGTACTAAAAATAGGGTGGTAGTATAACTATCATGAAAAAAATAGAAAAAAAAATTGTTCCATGCAGTTTGAAATTATGAGCTTTTAAGTTCAACCCAGAGCTTTGTCACAGGATACAGGTCAAAATGTTCAATTTTATAATTTATTTTCGTTCATTTAATTTTTGACACTATAAATTTTAAATATTCAAAATTGGTTTGCTTCAAAAAAATATATTGAAGTGTGTTGGCAAGTTTTAGTTAGTTGACGCATTTATAAGGTAAAATAATTGGAAGTTCTATAATAAAAAAAATTAGAAAAAATAAAAACCTAAAAATAACACTTAAATAAAAAAGATTATTAATAATTAACCATAATAACCAAAAATCGTCGCATATTCACAAAATCTCTAGGTTGCACTGCATGGAACAATTTTTTTTCATAGTTACGATCAATACTATCATACCGTTTCTACTTGACGTTGAGTTCTGGGACACCCTATATATATATATATATATATACAAATCATGTTAAACATCATGTAATATTTTTGCTCCTTGTTTTGAATATAAGAGCACTTCCATCGACAATGACACCCGCGTCGGAGTGAGAAACATCGGAAAATGTCACGTTCCAAGACCAGTTCTCTTTCACTGTCTTAAGTTATATGTACTAAGGATAAATTGAACGACTTCTAGGAGAAGCAATATTTTATAAAATATGCAGGAATCTATATTGCTAACACAGACAAATTTATTATTTCACAAAATCGTACAGCAAGCACCTACGGGACTCCACGGGCATGCAAGTTTTTCTCCACTTAATAAACATAAAAAATACTTTATCGATCATTTTGTAGCTACAACTATTATGTTTAGGCTATATTTCATGCATTACAGAACCCAGGTTTAAAATAATTGATTATTTAAATTATACTCCAAACCATACAGTAATAAATCTTCTTTGCCATCTATCCTCTAAAATATTATTAATTATGGTTGTTTATTTTTTCAGGTAATACACTGTTCCGGATATTTAAAAGTGAAACAGTACCCTCTTGATTCAGGGTCCTACGATATGTGTTACCAAAATTTAGGATTAGTTGCTGTTGGACATTCATTACCTCCTAGTGCTATTACTGAAATTAAGCTTCATTGCAATATGTTCATGTTTCGAGCAAGTTTAGACTTAAAACTAATTTTCTTAGACGCAAGGTGAGTAAAAAAAAGTAATTTTTTTATGTTATACTAATAGTTATCAATACGTATGAAATACAAATAATTATATAACACTAAAGTTGTTGCCTAATTTAAAATCAGTTTACCAGTTTACTAATTACCAAGACAAAAGTCAACATCATAAATTTAAGCAATAAACCTGGACCCTTAAAATTTACTCTAAGTTTCCTCGTAAACTCATGATTTATAGTTTACTGCGCCACGAATGATTCTCAAATTTTAGTACCAAAAAATATTTCACAGTCACATTTTTTATTAGTAATATAATCAAGTTATCCAAATATATAATATGATACTTTGTTTGGTTTCACTTATTAGTTCTTTTATGTAACAAGCACTTGTAAGGGGTGACAAAGTTTTTAAAATGAATTATGAGGATCGAAATTTAATATGTTTACACTACTGTATATATATATATATATATATATATATATATATATATATATATATATATATATATATATATATGACTGTACGATAATTTTTTTTTCAGGGTAGCGCAACTAACAGGCTATGAACCTCAAGATTTAATAGAAAAAACAATTTATCACTACATTCACGGAGCTGATATTCTGCATATGAGATTTGCACATCATACTTGTAAGTTTGATTTAATTTTCAAAAATATTTTTACTTGAGATAAAAGTTAAACTAGTTGGTTTGGTATTTAGCCTTGAGGCAAGTTACATGAACTTCCCGAAATGTGTAAATAATCGACTTAATCAAAGAAAAATGTGTAAATAATATACTTCATTAATCCTACTTTTTAAAAATCGATAATAATTTTAGCAAAATTTGACGAATTTTTAAAATTAAACTACTTGTCGTTAGGCCATAATATTACAGTAAGACCATGATGTATATCGCCAAAAAAATTTCCATGAAAATCGGCTTAAATTTTTTTTTCAACAGTTAATTACAAGAAAACGGCTCGGTAGATTTTCACCTAAAATTAATCAGTATCATTCCCAACGAATATCTTTCGAACAGTTTTCGATATTTTAAAATCGGTTCGGTAGGATGAGCTTAAATGTCGACGAAAATTTAACACTTTTTTTCAACAGTTAATTACAAGAAAACGGCTCGGTAGATTTTCACCTAAAATTAATCAGTATCATTCCCAACTAATATCTTTCGAACAGTTTTTGATATTTTAAAATCGGTTCGGTAGGATGAGTTTAAATGTCGACGAAAATTTAACACTTTTTTTCAACAGTTAATTACAAGAAAACGGCTGGGTAGATTTTCACCTAAAATTAATCAGTATCATTCCCAACTAATATCTTTCGAACAGTTTTTGATATTTTAAAATCGGTTCGGTAGGATGAGCTTAAATGTCGACGAAAATTTAACACTTTTTTTCAACAGTTAATTACAAGAAAACGGCTCGGTAGATTTTCACCTAAAATTAATCAGTATCATTCCCAACTAATATCTTTCGAACAGTTTTCGATATTTTAAAATCGGTTCGGTAGGATGAGCTTAAATGTCGACGAAAATTTAACACTTTTTTTCAACATTTAATTACAAGAAAACGGCTCGGTAGATTTCACCTAAAATTAATCAGTATCATTCCCAACTAATATCTTTCGAACAGTTTTTGATATTTTAAAATCGGTTCGGTAGGATGAGCTTAAATGTCGACGAAAATTTAACACTTTTTTTCAACAGTTAATTACAAGAAAACGGCTCGGTAGATTTTCACCTAAAATTAATCAGTATCATTCCCAACTAATATCTTTCAAACAGTTTTTGATTTTTTAAAATCGTTCGGTAGGATGAGCTTAAATGTGGACGAAAAGTTTTTTTCAAATTACAAAGAAACGGCTTGGCAGATCGTTGCACAAAACTGACAAACGATAGTCCTCACCGAAATACATCAAATGGCTTTTAAATTTCTAAAATCGGTTCAGGCGTTTTTGAGAAAACGTCGATCAAAAGTCTAATTTTGACAAATGCCAAAAAGACCATACTGATTTTTGCAAACTTTGACGAATTTTTAAAGCTGAACCAGTTGTCGTAGGGCCGTAATATTTTAGTATGATCTAGAAGACTATGGTATCTATCGTCAAAAAAATAATCATAAAAATCGTCGAAATTTTTTTTTTAAAAACTTTATTACAAGAAAACGGCCCGGCCGATCTCTACCAAAAACTAATCAGCACGATTCCCAACCAATATCTTTCGAACGGTTTTTGAATTTTCAAAATCGATTCAGAATTGCGGGCTAAAACGTAGACGAAAAATTTTTCACTTTTCTGCCATTTATGAAGAAACGGCTTGGCCGATCGTCGCACAAAACTGACAAACAATAGTTCTCGTCGAGATACATCGAATGGCTTTTAAATTTTTGAAATCGACCCAGCCGTTTTCGAGAAAACGTCGATTTACGGCAAAAAATCTGTTCACATACACACACACACACACACACACACACACACACACACATACTTTTTCCAAATTTGGTCTCATTCGATTCAGAATGGCTTGAAACGTCGAGAAAACATAAAATTAGCGAATCGGGTTTTTTGATGAAAACATAAACTTCTCCTTCGGGAAGTTAAAAATATAAGTTGTATGTCATAGTTTGGGCGTCAAATTGACAAGGAACTTAAAACCAGATATTGAATAAATTGATCAGATTACTTGATATTTTAATGTAAATTCAATTAGGGGGTAATCTCCATATGGTTTGCAATTCATCAAAAACTATTCTTTTGATGAATTGTAAACCATAAATTTATTGTATAAAGATGCATGTAAAATATTTTTATAACAATTTTAATCAGGAATAAAATAATAGCGTCATTTCAGATCTTCCTTTTATATTTTTTATTCATTGTAAGTGCAATATATATTACTTACGTAATTTAAGTTAGATGCTTCAATAAAGTATATTTAGTAACGATAATTTTATTTTTGATCTATATTTAAAATCGATCGAACACCGTCATTGTATAATATATCGTCATTATATAAAAGTGTATGATCTTTTTTACGTTAAATTAAAAAAAAACATTAAAAAGCTCATATATTAAAATACGTTATTCTTCATACAAATATATTTAATTCTTTAATTTTTTGCGAAGAGCTGATAATATTGTCATTGTAATACATTTAAGTGTTACATGTTGCATTTACATCAGGCCATATTTTAAACTGTGCAGATATTTATGTAATATCCTTTTCGATGGTGTAGTAAAACTTAGATATTTAAATTATATATGTGATGATAGTTTCGGTCTTAAATAACTTCTAAAAATTAAAATGAATTAAATATAGATAGTTCAACAGTTGACAGTTGTCAAAAAACTGATAAGTTCTGATTTTTGTTCAAAACTAAGATAAACATAAAAATATGTAGCGCATATGGCAACTTGCTGAAACTTTTATTAAAACTTTTCTTAAAACAATTAAAAAATCTAAAATTTCTGAAAATTTAGATACCCATGTAGTCGTTTGATTCATAGTGACAAAAATATCCAGAAAACTTCTTTGAACTATATAAGTGAAATTTAACCCTTGAATTTTGCCGCAGCCGTAAGTTAGTAAGTATTTTGACGACAGAGCGGCGTCATCCGAGTGAAAAGGATTGAACATTATCTATATATATATATATATATATATATATATATATAAAAGTTGATGCAAAACCAAAAGAAATGGAATCAAAATAGAAAATAGAGAATCAATCGATCATTTTTGACTACTTAATGATTTTTTAAAATTTTCTGGATCTCCGAAACTGCTAGACCTTCCTTCACAAAAATTTCATTAACTTTCATTTCGTCAATACAAGTGAAATGTCTTTTGAATCATTCAAATCGGATCACGAGGCATACATCATCAAGTCATAGTTCATTTATGTTATTATTTTTGTATTAATGTTTTTATTTCATTTTATTTTAACTTTTTTTTATTTTATATTTAATTTATTGTATTTTTTTGTATTATTTCTTTTTTTGCAAATATCAATTTTGTAAATAATACATTAAAGTATTGATTTACAAAAATAAATTATAACAAAAAAATCAAATCGGATTTCCTCAAAAACTGAAATGCATTAAAGTAATCAGTATGTCTCCTCGTCAATACGAATCGAATGGTTTTCGAAGTATTCAAATCGGTTGATCCGTGCTCCCATAAACATCGACTAAAAATTGTATCCACGCATATATAGTCACATAAGCACGTACATCCATTTTTTCTAAAGTATGTAGAAATGCTCTGAAACCTTTGATATACAAAAATTTAAATTTTCAATATTTTTGCGATTAGGTACTATACGGGAAGTTAAAAAAGTTCATTCTCATTAGCATAAAGCTGATTGAAAAAGCATAATATTTAAATAATTTATCAAAATTATTTCCATGCATTAATATCGATAATCCATTCCGCGTGATCGTTAAACAGTCTGTTTGTAGACGCCTTTATTCCAAATCATCATTACATAATAAAATGTGCGTTTTACACTTTTGCAACACGAAATATCCCGAATATGATATTATATTGTATATTCCCAAACAATACATAATACAGAGAAACCCATGCCGCCCATACCATACCATACCATATGGCCCGATGCGCCATTTTGTCCGTATTATCTCTATTGTGCACAGACGCAGTTTGTTGGCGGGAATAGATGGCAAAGGGCTCCGGGAATGGGTAATTCCCTTAATTTATTTGAAGGCACGATCGCTTACAAATCGACCGGTACCATTGTAAACATACAGGGTTTAAGGCGCACTCAATGTCGCCCTTGGATAGAAAAATCTGCGGCTGGATTTCGAAATGTTATTTATTTCGAATCGAGAGCTTTTAAAGAAATCACGGCAGGACACGGATGCATATCGAAATAAACGGGATTTGTCGGATACTTGACAAAAGGTTTAAAAAAAACTTCTGACGTGAATTAATTAATTACATACTTAGTCATTTTTTATGAAAATTAGATAACTGCAGGTGATCATTCTTGCATAAATGTATTAAATTCCCATAGCGCAAGTTATAGTAATCGTCAAAAAATCGAAATTGAAAATTATTGCAGTCTTCACGTTTCAAAGATTTCTGAATATTTTGGCATACTTTGAAAAAAATGGATGTGTATGTATGTTTGAATACAATTTTTCCTACAATTGAGTACAAAACACATTCAATTCGTAATGAAAGGGATAATCCGTGAATAGTTTTTGACAAAGGCAGGTCCAGCCGTTTCGGAGAGACGGGCTAAAAGTGCAAAAAATAACAGTTTTTAAGAGAACTTATCCGATTTAAATGATTCAAAAAACTTTCTACTTGTGTTGACAAATAATGAAATAAATAATAAAACTAAATAATGAAATGAAATGAAATCTTTAGATTGATTGATGATCTTTTTGAAAACATTTAATAGTTTTCGAATTTTTCTTTACGGTACGGGGAGTTCTAACAATTTGCCTTAAGTCTCGATGCCATATACCACTAGTTATATAGGTTTTGAATTGAAAAAATATGTACATAAAAATTATGAACTTAACCATGGACATCAGCTACCAGGTTAATCAAAATAATACTTAAGTTAGAAAGTATCTGCAAAAAGTTTTATTGTTAGGAAAAAATTGACATCAGATTTAATGTAAAACAGCTTAAAAAATCAATGAAAGTTTCTCGTTGGAAAAACCTACCCAAAGCCGCAAAAAATCAGCTCGTATAGTCTAATAATAATGCAAGAATCTCATTATAATGAAAAAATTATACTATTTTTATTATAATATCATTATAACAAAAATTTGACAATGAATAAAAAATAATTTATAATAGAGATAGCAATGTTTGCTAATTAGGGTAAGGTTGCTTAAGTCGTGCTCCTTGGGATATTAAAATAAAACTTTTTTTTGTTTTATTTTTATTAACTCTTATTCATAAAATAGTTATTTTTACGTTTGTCTGTGCCGTCTTAACAAATTTCTATTTAGAGAAAGGTTGTTCTAAGTCGTACCCCCTGGAAAAATTCAAATAAAACACATTTACTGCATATTCAGTGGCTTATTAATAAAATGATTTATTTTAAGTTTGTCTGTGCCGTCTACGCAAATTTCTAATTAGAGAAAGATTGCTTAAGTGGTACCGCAGAGATAATGACCCTGCAATATTTACAATTAGTGCAAATGAAATAAAACTATTTTTTTTAACTTCCCGAAGGAGAAGTTTATGTTTTCATCAAAAAACCCGATTCGCTAATTTTATGTTTTCTCGACGTTTCAAGCCATTCTGAATCGAATGAGACCAAAATTTGGAAAAAGTATGTGTGGTGTGTGTGTGTGTGTGTGTGTGTGTGTGTATGTGAACAGATTTTTTGCCGTAAATCGACGTTTTCTCGAAAACGGCTGGGTCGATTTCAAAAATTAAAAGCCATTCGATGTATCTCGACGAGAACTATTGTTTGTCAGTTTTGTGCGACGATCGGCCAAGCCGTTTCTTCATAATGGCAGAAAAGTGAAAAATTTTTCGTCTACGTTTTAGCCCGCAATTCTGAATCGATTTTGAAAATTCAAAAACCGTTCGAAAGATATTGGTTGGGAATCGTGCTGATTAGTTTTTGGTAGAGATCGGCCGGGCCGTTTTCTTGTAATAAAGTTTTTAAAAAAAAAAATTTCGACGATTTTTATGATTATTTTTTTGACGATAGATACCATAGTCTTCTAGATCATACTAAAATATTACGGCCCTACGACAACTGGTTCAGCTTTAAAAATTCGTCAAAGTTTGCAAAAATCAGTATGGTCTTTTTGGCATTTGTCAAAATTAGACTTTTGATCGACGTTTTCTCAAAAACGCCTGAACCGATTTTAGAAATTTAAAAGCCATTTGATGTATTTCGGTGAGGACTATCGTTTGTCAGTTTTGTGCAACGATCTGCCAAGCCGTTTCTTTGTAATTTGAAAAAAACTTTTCGTCCACATTTAAGCTCATCCTACCGAACGATTTTAAAAAATCAAAAACTGTTTGAAAGATATTAGTTGGGAATGATACTGATTAATTTTAGGTGAAAATCTACCGAGCCGTTTTCTTGTAATTAACTGTTGAAAAAAAGTGTTAAATTTTCGTCGACATTTAAGCTCATCCTACCGAACCGATTTTAAAATATCAAAAACTGTTCGAAAGATATTAGTTGGGAATGATACTGATTAATTTTAGGTGAAAATCTACCGAGCCGTTTTCTTGTAATTAAATGTTGAAAAAAAGTGTTAAATTTTCGTCGACATTTAAGCTCATCCTACCGAACCGATTTTAAAATATCGAAAACTGTTCGAAAGATATTAGTTGGGAATGATACTGATTAATTTTAGGTGAAAATCTACCGAGCCGTTTTCTTGTAATTAACTGTTGAAAAAAAGTGTTAAATTTTCGTCGACATTTAAGCTCATCCTACCGAACCGATTTTAAAATATCAAAAACTGTTCGAAAGATATTAGTTGGGAATGATACTGATTAATTTTAGGTGAAAATCTACCCAGCCGTTTTCTTGTAATTAACTGTTGAAAAAAAGTGTTAAATTTTCGTCGACATTTAAACTCATCCTACCGAACCGATTTTAAAATATCAAAAACTGTTCGAAAGATATTAGTTGGGAATGATACTGATTAATTTTAGGTGAAAATCTACCGAGCCGTTTTCTTGTAATTAACTGTTGAAAAAAAGTGTTAAATTTTCGTCGACATTTAAGCTCATCCTACCGACCGATTTTAAATATCGAAAACTGTTCGAAAGATATTCGTTGGGAATGATACTGATTAATTTTAGGTGAAAATCTACCGAGCCGTTTTCTTGTAATTAACTGTTGAAAAAAAAATTTAAGCCGATTTTCATGGAAATTTTTTTGGCGATATACATCATGGTCTTACTGTAATATTATGGCCTAACGACAAGTAGTTTAATTTTAAAAATTCGTCAAATTTTGCTAAAATTATTATCGATTTTTAAAAAGTAGGATTAATGAAGTATATTATTTACACATTTTTCTTTGATTAAGTCGATTATTTACACATTTCGGGAAGTTCATGTAACTTGCCTCAAGGCTAAATACCAAACCAACTAGTTAATCTTGAATCTTTTGAAATCTTTCAAAATAAGAATTTTTATAAGTTAAATAAGTTTTTTGAAAATGTACTAACGGCACAAGTTGCCTTAGTTGTACCACCTTTAGCTTTGGTCACACTACTTACTACAGGCCTACTACTAAAAACTAATTAATTCAGTTTGAGATGAAATCTTCTTTAGTTTTTTGTTACCAAGTCGAATATAATTATTAAAATAATACCAGAAATAAAATAAAAATATCAAAATCTAACGAATGCAATCATATTTTTGCTATAAATGGATTGAAACTAACAAAAATATTAATAAAAACTTCATAGGCAGCTTACTTTTTAGTTCGCAAGGTGTCCTTTAGGTTTTTAATTGAAAACTCAGTTCTATTTATAATAGTATATTGAAATTTAGATGACGTAATTTATAATAATTAGACAAAATGTAGCTTATGAACTTAGGAAGTTTTACGACTTGAGAAGCTTTGCCCAAATACTTCTAACACTTAATTTTATAACTTTAAAAGCTTAGTTTGTCTCAATCTCTACAATTAACTTACCTACTTAGACTACAATTGAAATTTTAATTTTTTTTCATTTTTACTTCATTATTCATTAGGCTCTCCAACTAATCTCATAGTAACCTTGATTATAAATGAAATTTTAATCTATCAAAGCAATTTGATACAATTATCTGCTGATCTCCAGTAATCACTTAATAAAGATTAAAAATATAATATTTAAATATTACACAATGGATCAGATAATAATTTAATATACTTTCTTCTATTATTACAGTGCTGTGCAAGGGTCAAGTGACAACCAAATATTACAGATTTCCAATCAAAACTGGAGGTTGGGTCTGGATGCAAAGTTATGCAACTATAGTGCACAATTCGAGATCATCGAGGCCACTTTGCGTAGTTTCAGTTAATTATGTATTAAGGTAATAGTTTAAATAAAAAAATCATCGTAGTCAAATAATATAAAATAAGCTCTGGTAATAACGTAGTAAATTATAAAAAAATCTGTTCACATACACACACACATACTTTTTCAAAATTTGGTCTCATTCGATTCAGAATGGCTTGAAACGTCGAGAAAACATAAAATTAGCAAATCGGATTTTTTATGAAAACAAACTTCTCCTTCGAGAAGTTAAAAATATCGAATGAACACTATGGGTTTGTTTTACAACATTGAAAAATTTTATTACTACAGTTTACTTCTTTGTTAAGTTAAGTATATATTATATAATAGAAGTAGTTTAAAGAATAGAATAAGGTTTGATTAAAAGCAAAATCTATCTTCAAAACAAACAGTGGAAAAAGATATTTAAATATAAAAAATTAATTCTTATTTATCAAGTATATTATTTTCACATTTCGGAAAGTTTATGCAACTTGCCAAGGTAAAATGCCACTTAAACTAGTTATTTTATACAATCATATCCTCAAAATATTCCAAATAAGTCGCCATTTCAGAAAATATTTGGTTTTCCAAAAACTTTAATTCAAATAGTTTTATACTCATGGCGTATATACTCGTTAATACACAAAATTCCTTCACTTTGCCATGACGAGTATATACGTTAATTACAGTCAACAGGTTAATGTAGGATAAGTTAAATAAAAATATATTATTTATTTAGAAATGATTCATTTATCGTGCCATCTAATAGCTCATTTTATTAAATAATGTATAAAATTTTTCTATGTTTTTCCTTCAAGAATACAGAAAACAGTACCATATATTTATAAATTCATCTTATTATTATTCATGTACCATAAATAAACTTTATTTGTGTTTTTTTATAATAAATAAAAATTAATCATTTAATCTTTTCAATACGCAACAGATTTTATAAGAATCTCTTTTCCAATGTAATTCTAATATTTTTACGAATTCAAAAATATAATTTATTACTTTGATGCATAAAAATGATTTGCGTTATCAAAAAACTAATGCGTTTATTGTTCGTCAATAATGATTATAAATTTTTGAAATATTTATGAGAATAAATATACGACTTGATTTTATCTTTGTTTGCCTAAAAGATACATACAGAAATTGTTTTAGCAAAAATAAAATGATAATATTCTAAAAATAAAATTAATTACTTTGAAAAAGTACCTACTTGTTTAATTCGATTAAGAGCAAATTCAAATGAACATATTTTTTGCGATGTTTTCTACAGAAATGACACTGCTGTACGGGCCAGCAATCCGCCCAAATATTAAATACACAAACGATTTTCTAATTATCATTAATAGAAATGTATTTAAAATATAAAAATTATACTTCTATACAGTGGCGTCGGAACCGTGTGGGCTGTGTGGGCTTGAGCTCAGCCCACCCATCATTTTCAAAAAATTATATGGGCTAATATCTCTAAAAAAAAACGAGCCCGAAAAAATATAGAAGTTCTATATTTAGGGTGGATATTTCGATTTCCTTTCTCTCAGGGGCTCGCATGATTGCAAATTAATAAAAAACAATTCTATGAAAGTTTTAGCTCTTAATATTAATTTTAAGATAGTCCGCACTCTAATCAAAGTTTCTTATGGATATAACATGGGAAAAATTCCATTTGTTTTTTAGAATTTTACAACATAGCGACAAGTGGATCAAAAGTTTGAGATAAACATTGTATTTGCTTATTTTGATCATAAATAAAAATAATTACAACAAAAATTTGACAAATTTCATAAAATAAGTATTTACTTAAGAAGATTCAAGAAACTTTCGTTGGAGTGCGGACTATCTTAAAGTAAATTTCAGGGCCAAAAACTTGCAGAGAAAATTTTTTTATCAATTTAGAAGCATTTGAGCACCTGGGAGCAAAAAAATCGAAAATAACCATATTGAGGATCACCCTACTTCTATATATGTAACAGAAAACTACAATAAAAAAAAGTTTGAATAATTAACTCAAAGCGATAAATTTTGATCAAACGTTGGATGTCGTCTATAGGCGACACTCGTACACACAGGTCGACAAGCGCATGTCGCCTATAGACGACACTCGTGACAAAAGAATTAAAACACAGTTTTTTTTAATATATTTTTCTATTCCCAGTGGTCAAGAAGCAAAAGACTTGATACTTTCAACAGAACAAGGACCAGCACGATCAGTCACAGAACCAGCTGCAGTATCAACGCCCGTGTCAACGATACCAAAAAGCAATCCTGTTCAACTTGCACAACATCATCCAAGTAGCCACGAAACAGTAACGAGTAACCATCCAGTAATTCAACAACCACAACAAACAACTCCGCCTATGCAACACCAAGGTGCCTCACATCATCATGAGCCAACGCCTATCCTGCATCATCAACCACCAGTAGTTGGTCACCACCATGGAGAACATTTACATCATAGTGGATATAGGGAAAATACGTACCATGATCATGGTCCCCATGAATATCAGTATTTGCAGCATTTACAACCGGTAAGAAAAGTGGCTCATATAAACATTTAAACCAAGGGCTAGCAACATTTTTAACTCACGGGCCATTTTAAGTTTTAAAATTTCATGGCGGGCCGCACGTAATTTATGTATATATACTAGCAGACCCGGATAAAAGCAAAATTGCACCTTCTACAGGGCATTCAAAAACTAGGTACTTCTTATTAAGCACAACGAGAAATATTTGTACTAAGTCTGCAAATCAGTTAGTTTTATCAAGGGTAACCATTTCGTTGCCAATATCTAAGAATTGTTTTCAAAATGTTGCAGCGGATAGAGCGGATAAATTTAAGCTTTACTATAAGCTCAGAAAAATCTTGATCAAATTTCTATTAAAAACGTTCACAAAAAAGACGATCATTGTTAATTGATCGATTATCGAGCTAAAATGACTATTATGAAATAAGAAATTGAAATTTGGAGTTGTATGTAGTTTTCCATTCCGCGCTAAAAAATTAAAATGAAGAACAAATTTTAAAAAAAATGTTACGGTTGTACAACCCATAAAAAATAAATTGCTTTTTCTTTTTGAATAAAATTGAAGATTTTTCATAAACTCAAAAGTCTGAACTAATATAAAGTCAAAAAGATTCATTGACTGAGCGCGGGAATAAAACAAACAAAATTACAAAACTGCAACAAGAAAAGAACAAATACTCAAAGTTGAATAAAGTATATATTTTATATATTTACGAGTGTATATATGCAAAATGAAAACAAATAATAGTTAAACAGAAAAACTAATTTTATTGAAAACTTTAATGAAAAATTTGGCACTGCTTTTTTATATAAGCTGATCGATATAAGCCGTTTTTTAAATCTTGTTCTTTAATTTTTTTAATGCGGAAAGTAGCATAGTGATGCAGCTTTAATATGTTTCACTCAATTTTGCTCGGTGGATGGATCGAAATTAACACAGATTCACAAAAAAGTTGTCTGGATTGGGTGTATGTTATACGTTTTCCATTTACTTCTGAAGATAAATCTATAGTCAGAATTGGGACGCAAAATATTTAAAAAACTGGCACAATTTTCAATCTCTAAATTTTTCTAAATGAATGAATTATTTTCCATCGACTTTTCTTTCTGTGCAATTGTTCGCACACGACGTACTTCCAAAAAAAGAATTTACATAATTTTCTTTGCGTGTTTTTTTCAAAAGCAAAAATTTCTCAGAGCTGACATGAGTTTTATAAAAAATTGCAATGTTTACTAAAAAATACATCTTTTAAATCTGTAAATAATACAGCTATTTTGCATGCTGATTACTTTCTGTGATGGTTTTCATAAAGTATACCTACATCGATGTTAAGCTTTGAACATTTAGAATCGCAATTAAAATTTGTTCACATTTCCTTTTTCCAAATATGGAAAGTAAAACACAAAATGATGCAGAAGATATTATTCTCCATTGTCAAAATGAGGAAAGTACAAAAATTATCGCCATATACACGCTTTAAATTGTTCAGGAATTCTTTAAATTCACGGTGGTTTAACCCTCGCGACTTTATAAAACACACTTATTTAATTATTTTAAATTTGGAAATGCGTTATGGATATGTTTTCGGATAAGTTCTCAATTTTTCTTGCAATATTGTTAACTGAATATTTATTTTATCAGGAAATGCTATTTCTGCGAACAATTTTTACCAGTATTTGACTGACAACACATCAGCCTTTACAGTCGTATTTGATAAAATATCTAGAAAAATAGTCTGTAGTTGAGAAACGCTTGGCGGGCCACAGAAAAACATCCGGCGGGTCGCACGCGACCCGCGGGCCGCGGTTTGCTCATCCTTGATTTAAACTATACAAAAAATCATTTTCTCTGACCATTTATCTTTATTACAGCACGATCAGCAAATCTACGACGACAGCAGTTCTTCAGCTAATTTTTGTGCATACCCCGATCACATGTTCTACGGTTACGAAACAGCAGATCCAACCCATTCTCATACCCATTTGCAACCAATTACCGAAAGGCCCTTTTCGGTGTCTAGTAACTCCTGCAGTAGTACAGAAAGTGAAGTCAACAATATGGTGATCTATGAAGCAGCCAGAGCAAACAACCATGTTTTACACGATTTCCAAAATTACCAGCATCTTCAACCTGTTGTTACGCAACACCAGCATCATCAGCCAGTTGTGGTAGGAGCAGGTGTTGTAAATAATACTTCACCTGGTCATGTTCCTTATAAAGGAGTTATAGTTGATGCTCAGCAGTACCATCAGTTAACTAATGAGTATGTTCGCTGATAGAAAAAAAGTTATGGGTGTAAATCCATGAAAAGATTTAAAAAGTGGTGACAGAATACCAGGTGTTATGCAAACTTGGAGGCCAAATCTTGGATAAAATAGTTGGTAGTAATAAACTTTCTAGAAGCTATGTATTTGCTGCGCGATCAGGCGTTTTACATAGAAATTAACCTACAAAACGAACAAAGTTCAAACTTCAGAAAGTGCAACTTTCTGAGGTCTCTTTGATAAAACATATTTGAAGTTAAGAGGCACAACTAGTGTAACCGCCTAAAAAAAGGTGATATTTGGGAGTTTAATTAAAAAAAACTACTTTATCAATCATTTAAAAATTTTAGGATTTATACATGCTTTAAGAATACATAGTGAAATTTTTGAAGAAAAAAATAAAGTTATCGTCGATCTCCAACGGCGCGACAAAAAAGGCCCTTCACTGCTGCAGTGATTCCGGCCTTCTACGTGGATGAAATTTAAAAAAAAAATCTCGTTAAACTAGATAATATTGTCTGTAAAATGAACTACGATAAAAAAAATCAAAAATTGACAAAATGACGGCGTTTTTTAAAAAGAAGTCGGATTTTACTCAAAATTTTGGTCGTTTTGGACTGCCAAAATTCGATTTTGATCCGATCAAAAATCGATAGTTCGATATATATATATAAGATATCGATTTAATATTTTGGTATGTTATTTTTAAAGGTAAATTGAAAATTCGATTTTATGAAAATTTCCCACTAGTTGTGCCCCTTAAGTTTTATGTGTGAAACGCCTGATTGCACAGCAACCCACAGCTTTTGGACAGTTGTTACTACCGATTCATACGAAGATAGACCCATAACATGACATTGGCTCCTTAGTAATACATATGACATCTGATTATTTCATAAGTCTACCCTGCACTTTATGCAAAACCCAATGAAAATAATATTTGCATCGCCAAAATTATTATTCATTAAAAAATATGTGATTTATACCACAATTATATCGAAACTAATCAGATATAGTTTAGTGAGTTAAGTCGTTAAGTAGAATTTAATTTTTTTTTAACTAAATTATATATTTGTAAATTAAATATACTACCCAGTGATGCGTGCCAGTAATTAATATATTTTAAAATCTAAGTCGGCGAAAAAATTGTTACAAACGTTGTTTGAGTAATATAAATAACTGTTGTTTGAAATTCAAAGAAAGACTGAATATTTTATTTAGTTGATTTGGTTTAGGCATAAAAATATGCACGTAATTTAGATAATTTTTAATTAATTTAAACAAATTGTAAAAATTAAAAATATTTCTTTGATTAGTACGGTATTAAGATGTACCTTCTAAAAATATAATCAAACATCACGTTGATTTGTAAAAGGTAAATTAATTAAAATATGAGACATGATACAATAAGTTCTTATAAAAACTCAACGAACCAATGGTAATAATAATAATTGGAAAGATACCCTTTTATTTTAAGTAACTGTAGTATTAAATTCAAAAAATGATGAAATAATGATAATACTATATATAAAATAACTATTGATAGTAAAAGATGTTTGATTCAAGTACGTGACAATATCCTCTTATTTCCAAAGTATTTTGTGAAGATAAATAGCACAAATATTGTGAGTGTTCTACGTCATAAAATTTTACCAATTTATGGATTAATTACATTTATCTATAAGTGGATTTGTAAACAAAAATCGATTATGAATAGTTTTTATAAAAATATTTTAAGGTGTATTATAATATGTAACCAAAGTGTACAAAGATTACTATAAAATATGTACTATAATTATACAAAATGTACATAAAAGCTTTAGTCGTTAAGAAATATATTTATATTATATTAATATATATGCATTAGATAACAAAATTGGATATTAATACTTAAATCTTGTAAATATTCTTTGTAAAAAATTAATTAGGACAATGTAAATCGTACAGCAATGTGACAAATTTCAACCTGTGAAATATATATTTTTTTCTCAAACATTGAATTATTTAATTGATTTATTCATTTGAATTTTTGTGAACTATAAATTCATAACTAGCAGGTATATGGCATCGTGCCTCAAGGCAAATTGCTGGAACTTCCGTACCGTGATAAAATATTCCAGGAATATTAAATGTTTTCAAATATATTATAAATTATTTATTCTTTATAGACAAAATATAAAAAATTATAAATTGGATGATGGCGTTTATATATGTTTGTATGAGAAGTAAATTAACAAAATTTGACAAATTGGATTTAAAATAAAGGACATTGTGTAATATTTATAAAATTATATAAACTGAATTGCGAATTTAAAATTATTTATTTGAATATATAATTGATGTTTAGAACTTTAGCTGGAATAAGAATTAAAATCCAAATTATGTTCGATATTCAAAAAAATGGAAATTAATAAAAAATGGTCTCTAAAAGCAATAGTTTAGTCAAAACAAGCGAAAGCTGTTTAAATCATTCAAATCGGATGCTTAGTTCTCTCAAAAACTGCATTTTTAACATGTTTAGCTTCGTATCTCCAAAAAGGCTGGACCTGCCTTTACTAAAAACTAATCAGCACATTTCCCTATCAATAGGAATCGATTGCTTTTGAATTTTTCAAATAGGTGCATCCATATGCCCGAAATCGTCGACGAAAAATTGTCTCCACACATGCATACACACACACACATACACGCACACACATCCATTTTTTCTGAGGTATGCCAAAATATTCAGAAACCTCTAAAACGTGAAGATATTTTTTGTTATATATGTTGGAAAGTAATCAGAACGCTCACTTCCTAAACGTCGTGATTTTTTATAGGTGGCAACCCAAAAGGTTGTCATATATTTATGTAATAACTTTATTATTACAATTTCTGTAATATTGATGATTTTTTTATGAATGCAGCAATGCTAAAAGACTATTTTCTCTATTGAAATTATTTCTTTTTAGTGAAAACCGATGTCAATACTGCTTGATATCAGACTGCCCGAGGACTTCTGGTTGGAAGTCCATAGATCTAACACCTAGGCCACGAGGAAGCTCGCAAGAACTTAATACAAGTGATGTACATCTTATTCACAATCACGATCGCAGACCGGTTTGAAAATGAATTCGTTACATAATGCGGGCACAATATTATGTAATCTCATACATCCTGTGTATCCTATTATAATTCGATTCGAAATCGACAATAAAATACGACTATCTGTACTATCTACCAGAAATATACAATATCATTTCCTATAAAAAAACAACAAAGCAAATGGGAATTAACAAACCTTTAGTATATTTTAAAATTAATTCTAATCGCTTTTTTTCATTTAAATAAAGTTTTCTTATAATATTTTTGTTTCTAACACGCATTATGTATATACATACTAAGGTGCAAGTTGTGATAATATTTGATGATGACACATACGCGTAATCTAACAAGTGAGTTATCACAATTAATCTATGGACAATATTGAATTAATGGGAGAGCTAGTGTTAGCATTGAAAATATTAAAATGTGTCCAAATTTCTAGACTAGGTGTTAAAACATCTCTGACAGAGCAACTTAAAAATTGAATCATAAGAACTTGAATTAATTTAGATTGACCTTCAAATTTGTTGATTTGAACTGATGTAATTATAATTGTCTTTTATATTGATACATATAAATTTGTTGTTATATTTGTTATATGTTAGATATTTAGCTGATTTTAAAAATTCTTTTAAATGTAGTTATATGAAGACCTACAAAAGAAAATTAAAAATAGTCGCACACTAGTTATAACTAGCACGACGATAGAATCTTTGACCCATAAAAATTATTTCGGTGCATACTATAATTAACTTATTGTTCCTTTTATTATAGGTAATTTTTAGCCCAATATCTTATAGAATTTTATCTATATTTCAGTGCTATATGTCAGCAATAGAAACAAATTTAAGTTGACTCTGTCTAAATCTATATATGCGACTTGTAATATGCAAAATAACAAATATTTTCTAAACATATTTTAAAAATTTGATGGATCTTTTATATTATTATTTGAACTTCATTCAGAACTATTCTCAGAAATCTATAAGCTGATGTGATATATTCTCTACTACATAACATTATTAGGAGACAAAAGGTTGTCGTACTTCTGATTGATAAATTTATACTGATGCATTTTTATCGTCCACGTTTTCGGACGTACGGATCAACCGATTTGAATGGTTCAAAAAACATTCGATTCATATTCATAGGGAGATGTGCTGATTAGTTTTTGGCAAAGGCAGGTCCAGCAGTTACGGAGATAAACAGTAAAGAGTGCAGAAAATAGAAATCGAGTTTTTGAGAGAACGGAGAATCCGATTGGAATGATCTAAAAAACATTAAATTAGTAATGATTGGGAGAAGTGTTAATCAGTTTTTGAGAGAACTAAGCGTCCGATTTAAATAATTCAAAGAACTTTCTGCTTGTCTTAACAAAATAATTGATTTTAGAAAAAAAAAATTTTGTTTCAACTTTTCTTCTCAATTTTTTTTTGTTTATCGAAAATAACTCAGATTTTATTTTTAATTCTGACTATAGTTCTTATATACTTTAAACAAATAATTTCAGCTTTGCAATTCAGTTTATATAATTCTTATGAATATTAGACAATGTTGCAATATTTATAATAATCTATTTGAAAACTTTCAGTATTCCTCCAACATTTCGTTACGGTACGGGAAGTTCCAGCAATTTGCCTTAAGGCACAATGCCATACACCCCACTAGTTATAATTTTGAAGTTAAACTTTTGCATCGATGCACAACATACATTTTAGTTTCTAGGAAATTTTTGAAGTAGCGATTGATTTGATATAAAATTTAATAACTTGTATTAATATATTATAATTAACTTCCCGTAGGGCAAGTTATAGTAATCGCAAAAAAATCTAAAATAAAAAAATTTATATATCTTTACGTTTCAAAGGTTTCTGAACATTTTGGCATATTTCAGAAAAAATGGATGTATGTGTGTGTGTGTGTGCAGA